CCAATCTTATATTTTCACTCAAGAATTAGAACTGGGAAGTACAGAAAGAACCAGAAGACTGTAGTAAGAAGATAACAGATAGATGCAAAGTAAAGATGTATAGAGAGCAGCAGAGTCACCATGTGCTGGGATGATTAATCATGGACTTCAATGGCAAAGGTGTTTAGATCACTCAAATTTTCAATGACTTTCAATTTCTATTTACATGTGACCTTTCAAGTTCCCATAGTTTGGCTTTTCATGTTTTGAGGACTTGGTTGGAGAGTTAAAATTCCTGTCACAAATGACACACATGTACACACACTTCATGGTAATAAGTAAGATTGTTCCTCACAATCAAAACTTACCCAACCATCACATAGAGCAGGTCCAAATTGTGCAAAGGAACCCTCCATAGAATCAGATGCAAGTTCAAACTACCCATAACAGTTACTTTCCATATCCAATACAAATACAAAATTCACCCCAACCAAACTCACACGAAATATGTGGTGGTTTGATCAAAGGTATATTTCATTCACTTATTATGTATCTATTGTTTACCTACAATGTGTCAGGCAGTATGTTGGGAGCTGGAGTCATATACATAAATAAGCAAGAAAGACAAGACAAAAGGGCTCTCAATTCAGTGGAAAAAGTACAGAAACAGCACAAATAAAAAGGGAAACAAATTTTAGAAAATTTAGAGAAACTCGATACAGTTCTGATTGCTTAAATGGTAGATTCTCTTTTGCATCTAAGTCATTCTAAATACAGCTCTTCTATCTAAGCCCAGCTTGTCAGACCTGATGAGATTTATGTCAGTATACTGTTTAACCAAGTGAAAAGACAAGAACAAAATTAAATCATCCTTCAGTGCCTAAATCACTGGAGTATAGTTGGCATAATTAGAGACCAGGGTTAATAACTACTAAGTTCAATATTATTATTTAATTATGACACAGACTTCTCAGGATTTTAAATGTGGTTATGATATTTCAGACTTAAAAGTTAAACATCCCTTACTGCTTTCCTATTTTGACTGATTATCAAAACACAGAAGCAAAGCAAATAGAAGTTTAAAATAGAGGAGGAAAGGGAGAAGGCATGAGTAAAGAGGGAAAGGGATCTAGAAAACAAGAGTCTTAAAAATATGAGTCATCACTATTTGGATCCAGATTTATCACAGGTCTATATTTACCACAGTTTTAGTCATAATCACTTAAAATAAAAATTTAAAAATCTACCAGTACTACTCTATCTTATTTAGTCTAACATTCTAATACTATTCTATACTGAGTGTTCTGTTGTACTTTCTTAAGCACTGGAGATGTGCTTCAAATACCAACTCATGTGACTAGGAGTGTAGCTCAATAGCAGAGTATGTGCACAAGGCCCTGGATTCAATTCACAGCACCAACAATGACAACAACAAAAACGTTTACACTTTTCACAACATTGAGTTATGTGGTAACTGCTGAAAGTATTACTGAAGGTGTGAAACCATTTTCTCCTGGGTAGTGGTGGTGGCTAGGGACCATTTGAGAAAGACAGCAAAATCCTGGATCAAATTTTAAATTCTGATAAATATGTTATTTTAAATCAATTAATTAATTTATTTGTTCTAATTTGTTGTACATGACAGCAGAATGCATTTCAATTCATAGTACACATATGGAACACAATTTTTCATTTCTCTGGTTATTCACAAAGCAGAGTCACACAATTTGTTTCATACAGGTACCTAGGGTAATGATGTCCATCTCATTCTACCATCCTTCCTACCCCCAAACCCCCTCCCTTTTCCTCCCTCCTTTTTGCCATATCCGAAGTTGTGAATCTGCTTTTAATTGCACCAAATGTCCTTGATTGCATATATGTCCAAGAAAGAAGCACATGCTCCATAATTAAAGATTCTAAATCAGCACTGTTTGATAGAAATATGAATATACAATTTAGATTTTCTAGAAGCCATATTTTTAAAAAGTCAAAGTAAACAGATGAAATGACATTTAAACATTGTAATTAATATAAAAATTAAGATTTTTTTTCATTTTTTCAAAATAATTTCTTGAAATCTAGTGTTTACTTTATATTTACAGCACATCTTAATTCGGATTAGCACATTTAAGTGTTCAATAACTATATGTAGGTAGTCATCACCATTTGAACAACACAGACATAAAGAATGACTGAGATATTGAGTACAAATGCCAGTGGAAATATAATTGTTCTAATATTTTTTTATGGAAACAATACCTTTATTTTATTTCATTTATTTATTTTTATATGGTGCTGAGGATCGAACCTAGTGCCTCACACATGCCAGATGAGTGTGCTACCATTGAGCTACAACCCCAGCCCCTGTTCTAGTATTTAAAAAAAATTTTTTTAACTTACACATGGACACAATATCTCTATTTTTGTTTATTTATTTTTATGTGGTGCTAAGGATTGAACCCAGTGCCTCACATGTGTCCTGGCAAGTATTCTGCCACTGAGCCATAACCCCAGCCCCTGTTTTAGTATTTTTTAACATAGTAATTTTTATAGTCTTTATGTAAAGTTTAGTGGTCTGCTCTTAACTTTGTTATTTTTGGTGTATCACTTTAAAGAACATAATTGTTTTCCCTGTACAAAGTTTCTTAGCTTCCCTTGCAGCTAGGGGTAGTCATATCATACACGTCCTGGCACTGAGATGTAAAGGGAAGTCCATTAAGTCCTTTGGAAAAGATTTTTTTTTGCCCTGAAAGGAAGACAGATGCCTCAAGTGAAACCCTCCCCTACCCCATGCACTTTCCTTTCTGTTTGGAACATTTCATATGGAAACATGATGTTTAGAGGTGTGGCAACTGTCTTGGGACGATACAAGTGTCTTTAACACATTGAAGATAACAAAAAAGAAAGGTATCCTTCCTTATCAGAAACATAAATGGAATGAAGAAGCTGGCCATGCAAACAGGAGACAGAAGAAGGCAAAGGCAGAGTTCTTTAGCAGAAGGGAAAGTACATCAGCAGCAGAGTTGTCCTCAGTGGTCTTTGCTTCAGTAGGCACAACCAGTGTGCCCTTCTTTCTCCCATTTCCTTCCTTTGCTGAAGATTCTCTTTCCTCTGATATTCTTTCTTTAGGTATGACAAGAGTACAGAATTACCCCTAATACTTAAGAGAGAGTAGAGCTAAAAGTAACAGCAAAATTTCTTTGATGTCCCATGTTTATTAATACTTATTCTTATACAAGCACTGCAATTTGGTCCTAATCTGTGTGCTTAGATTTTTTTAATGCTTTATCTACCATGAAAAAAGAATGTCCTATTACTCAGTAAGTGAGGTTATGTTGTATTGATTCAATTAAGTTTGGGTAATTAAGAGTGCATATCAGATTCATTGTTGAGCAATTCTCTCATTTGTTTGGGGGTCATAATAATTCAAGAACCCAAATTTATTTACCTAAATATGTAAATACATATGGAGTCATTTTTCACTACTTTACAATGTCAGGGTAATTATAGGGGACCAGCCCAGAATGCTGGCTAAAGAAATGATATGGTTAACATTTTCAGCTACTGATTGTGAAAATTTTGGTAAGCATATTTCTTGAGTTTTACAGTAAATGGGTATCCAATCAACTAGTTACTTCTTTTATTCATCAAAGGAGTATTTTTTTCAGTAAAGAAATATGCTTCATTTGACCACTTACCAGTCTTACACTATAATTCGTCATGTAAATAAAATAGGAGTCTCAAAGGACTCTCAGTTTTTTTATCAATTCTTTATTCAACCCCCATACCTAATTTTCATTAGAACTATTTAATCATGTGCAATAAAAGCATTCAGCTTGTCTTAAGATAGTTGTTTGTCTTGACTAAGTAAGCCCTCTGAGTCAGTCTTAATCATGAAGGTAAACTAGAAATTCATTAGCCTTAATTGCACTTCTCCTTCATGAAGAAAATGTCAGTTCAATACTGGCTTGAAAAACTGGTTATCATCTTACCTCAACCAAGTCAGCCATTCTAGAAAATGGAGCAGAATTTTAAAGTTAATTTCCATTTGGATACAAACGTTTGTTAAAAGTTAGGTTTTAAAACTACTAGATTTACTAAATTTTGCTATCATATCAAACATAATAAGAAAATCAAGAGAATAACTTTTTGAGATCATGGCTTCTCTGTGACTGCTCCTGGAAACATGCAGTTTTCTAAATTTGTCTCCATCTACTCACATGTGCATACATTTTCTCTACTTACTTTCATGTTACTGAAAAACTCACTTTCCTTGTAGCAAACGTCTTATTACAAATTAAAATCTTCAAATTTGTCTTTGAAAACATAACAGAATCTAATAAACTTGCCAAGTTATTAACATCCATATTTTTATCCAATTCTTAAGATCCAGGTTTTGCTGAAGCTACTAGTTATTTAATATTTTTTTGAGCATATTAAAATTCATCATTAGAAATCCTTTCATAAAGTACTTTCCTGTCTCTTTGTTTTCAAATGGAGCCAGTCACATCTAAAACAGTTTCACCAGATCTCATTTTAAAAGCATCATTGTGTTCTAAGCCCTCTGAAACTGACTTTGAAGGGAACTTCAAACCATTTTTAAAATTAGCTTGTTGGTTTGTGCTTTTTTTGGCTAATGTTTCTAGAGTCACCTCTTTTTGGTTTCAAAATTTGCATGATCGCCTTCTTGACTTTGCTTGAATCCGTCTTAATCATGCAGGAATCATGCTCAAGGTTTGTTTGACCAACGTGGCCTTAGCTTTAGGCTTACTTGCATTTTTACCATTGCAGAGCCCATATTTTAAATAGATAGCTAAATGCTACCCTATGCATTTGGTTTTCTGTTGCTGCTTAATTCTTGGTTATGATTAAAGTGGCTATCACGTTACGTTCATTATGAACATCTTCCACGACAGCTCTGACATGGCACCGATTTCTGGGTGTTCCGTTTCCATGACCATTCTTATTTTCACTGCTTTCGAGCTGTTACACTTCAACTGTCCTGTTTTAAGCCTCCGGTCCGTGTTTCCAGAAGAAAACATGATTTTCATTACGAATTACACGTCACGGCAGCACACGAAGGTGCTCCCGGCGGCGGGAAGCGCGACCCAGCTCTTTGCTGGTTGGTAAACACATCGCTGCGCAGGCGCAGTGGTACGTGCTTGGTAGCGTAAAGGGATTTTCGGTACAGTGAGAAAAAGCTAAGCAAATCACTGCGTCTTAGGGCGATAAGTTATCCAGATTTTTTGTATTTCAATTTTTTTTTTTTAGCTCTTTTTATTTCTAAAAAGCTGGTTGTGCGGCCTCCAGAGCCTCACAGAGAGGTTGTGCGCAGAATTCCTCAGCCGCTGAGGAAAGTGCCGCTAGCCTCCGGGGTAGTCACAGCAGCCTCCACCGTTCCCTCGCTGACTTTGTTGACCCCCGCTCTACAGCTCTGGGGATGTGGGAGGCGGGGCAGGGTGGGGCGGGCCTCGAAGCGCCACATAGAACTTCTCCGCGCTCTGGCCTACGCCAAACAACGCGAGATCTGCTGCGGGGAGGCGGACGTTTCTCCCCCCCACACACACCCCGCCCACACAGTCGGTGGACGTTTGCGCATGCGTTTGACTTTTAGCGCGCAAACATTTCAAAACTTTCTGCCTGGTAATTGGCAGCCAAACTGGACGCTTGAGAATATCCGTCACGTTGATACCGTGGATTCGAGTACACAACACTACATTGTTCGAAAGTTTTAGCTAAAACTCCATTGGGTTGTATGGTGATCCCTTCTTTCTATTTGTGTGTTGGCCGTGAATTCAGAGGTTTCAGCAAACCCAGTGCCAAAGGAGCGGGAGTGGGACAGAGCCCGTCAAGGTTTTTAAATAAGAGCGATGAGTTTATGTGTTTGGAAACATAACTCTGGGAGCGCCATAAAGGAGTGATTCCGAGGGACGAAAGAATTTTTTTCCCCCTGAAGATTGTGATAAAGATGTGTGAACTAAGGTAATGCAGTGGGAAGAACCAAAGAATTTTTGAGGTAAATAAAGAGAGTAAATAGCATACCTGAGAAGTGAGGCTAGAAAGAACTGCTGGCAGTAGAGGAAGTTTTTCTTAAAATGTTTATGCATGTTTATAAACAAAAAAGGCAGAAATGCCACACATTTAGTCCATGATGTATCAAGTAGAAATGGGAATGTCCCTTAGAGAGTGAAGCAAGGGAGACTCTAAAAGCCCTAAATCCTGAGCAAGGACTGAGATTGGGACTGAGTAGAACAGTTGAGATACCAACAGGAGTAGGAATTTAGGAACTGTTGTGAGACTTCTCACTAATCTGGCCTCTTTCTCTCTCAGGATACTTGGAACACCTGCGCAAGCACTGGATTTTGCCCAGCGACATCTTAAAGGTATTATATAACACCAAAGTGCCTTCCTCTTTCTAATGGAGTCCCCTGGCCCTGCTACCTCCCACTAACTCTACCCTTCAGCCAGAATGAAGTGTAGACTTCGTGTAATGAAAGGTGGAATTTAAGTCGAGCACAGTTGTGGCTCATGCTTCTATCACAGTGGCTTGGAAGGCTGAGGCAGGAGGATCACAAGTTCAAAGCCAGCCTCAGCAAAAGCGAGGGACTGAGCAACTCAGTGAGACTCTGTCTCTAAATAAATGAAAAAATAGGGCTGGGGATGTGGCTCAGTGAACATGTCCATGAATTCAACCCTCCCCATCTCCCTGCCCCTCCCCCCCCCAAAAAAAGATGGAATTTAGCTACCAACTTACTCAGATGTGTTGCTGGCACGTTACAGAATTATATATACACGTCTAGCCAATAACTTCCCAGAGGTCCACCTTGCTATTGGGAACAGTTCTATGCAGCTTAGCCTGGAGAGTTATCCTCAGTATCCCAGGGTATTGCTTCCAGGACCACTCAGGAATGCTGAAATCCACATTGCTCAAGTCTCTCACATAATATGACAAAAGCATTTGCATATAATCTATGCATGTCTTCCTGTATGTAAACTTTAAATCATCTCTAGATTACTTATAATACTAAATCAGCCTGAATGCTATGTATATAGATGTTATACTGTATTGTTCAAGGAATAATGAATGACAAGACTACTGTCTGTACATTTGCTACTGTCAGCACAGATGCAAATTTTTTTCAAATATTTTCAGTCTGTTGGTTCAGTCTGAGGAGGTGGAATCCATGAATGCAGAGAGCTGACTTCGTGTGTGTGTGTGTGTGTGTGTGTGTGTGTATACAAACATGAATGTGTATCTCTGCAAATCTATATATTGTGATGGGGTCTCAGTATGTTGCTCAGGCTGGCCCCAAAATCATAGTCTCAAGCAATGCTCCTGCCTGAGACTCCTGAGTAGCTGGGATTACAGATGTGTGCCACCTTACCCAGCATGACTATCTTTTGATTCTTTGTGTACTGTCTGGAGTCTAAGGCAGAAGAATGCTTATGGAATTCATAATTTTTCTAGGCCCAACAAAGGAATGGCTGATAGGTAAGCAATATGACTTCATCTGTAAGAACATTAAATATGATAAACTACAGGACTGAAGCTAACTATGATGGAGAAGAATGTAGGTATGAATATATAAAATGGAAGTGTTTAATAAAAAGCCAGATACGGAATCCAAGCCTGGTGGTGCGTGCCTTTAGTTCTAGCTACTCAGAAGGCTGAAATAGGAGGATCTGTTTATCCCAGGAATTTGAGGCCATTCTGGGCAGCATATTGAGACTCTGTATCAAAAGACTTAAAAAAAAAAAAAAAAAGAAAAGAAAAAGAAAAAAGAAGCAGCAGCAGCAGCCAGAGTAGTTTCCTACCAAACAGTTCTCCTAGAGCACTTCACTTTATTTTGGCAGCTTAGAGTATATCCTGGTAGCTGGGTTAAATATGTGAAATTCATAGGAAAATGCTGCAGGAAGGAAACCCATGGATGTAATAGAATAGTATTTCTGGACTTTATTGATTGGGATCATCCATCTCTGAGGCATGATATCTAAGTATGTTGTCTTAGGAAGTGTGTAGACTGGGAGCCAAATGGGGTTTTATTTTTTTTAATTTTATTTTTAGTACCAGGGATTGAACCCAGGGCACTTAACCACTGAGCCACATTCCTAGCCCTTTTATTATTATTATTTTAAATCTTGAGACAGGACCTCGCTAAATTGCTTAGGGCTTCACTAAGTTACTGAGGCTGGCTTCAAACTTACGATCCTCCCTTCTTAACCTCCTGAGCCACTGGGATGATAGGCATGCACCACTGTGCCCAGCCTGGGGTTTGATTTTTGAGTTTGTCAGTCATTCTGTGTGAGCTCTCAGAGCCTCAGTTTCCCTGATTGTAAAATAAGGATAACAGTCCTTATCACATATTATTATTATTATGACATTTAAAATAAGGTACTATTAGAAAGAGTACATGAGTTTCTCACATAGAACTTGGTATATAGTATATGATAAAAAATTAGTTTCTTGGGGCTGGAGTTGTGGCTCAGTGTTAAAGTACTTGCCTTGCACACATGAGGCACTGGGTTCGATCCTCAGCATCACATAAAAATAATAAACAAAGATATTGTGTCCATCTACAACTAAAAAATATTTTTTAAAAAAATGAGTTTCTTCTCTCAGCCTCCTGCCACATTTATGCACTTTACCTACCCAATGAATTGTGGATGCTCTATGGACATAGGTCCATCTTTATTTAGAGAGCCTTAAGACAAGTTCTCTGCCTTTCTTGCATCTTAGAATAACGAGGGAGCCTGGCTGGGAGCACCCTGGTGGAGCAGTAGAACTAGGGTCCATGGTTAGCATCCAGCTAACCATGGAACGTGTTGGCCTAGGCCACCAGCGCTATAGGTTAGGACTCCATCTGGGGCTCCACTGACCATTCCAAACCCTACAGAGGCAAAGAGAACCCTTCCAGCTAGGGCAGCTGCTTGTTGAAAGTCATGGTCCAGCTGCTGCTCTTTCTGAGGGCTGTCTTCAAGAAAGGTGCCTGTCTCTTATGGCCCAGGAGCAAGGGCCTTGCAGCCTCCACAGATGGGGAAGTGGGCCCTTGACGTGGTTTTGTATGGAAGGCAGTGTTGACTCTGGGGCTGGTCCTTCTCTACTACTACTCCTCATTGGCATCACCTTCTGCAACAAATGGCTGACAAAGAGCTTTCACTTCCCCCTCTTTATGACAATGATCCCCCTGGCTGTGATCTTCTTCTTTTTTGCCCTGTCCAGGGCACTGGTTCAGTGCTCCAGCCATAGGGCCTGTGTAGTGTTGAGCTGGACCAACTACCTCAGAACAGTGCCCCCTATAGCACTGGCAACCACACTTGATGCAGGCTCATCCAACTGGAGTTTCCTCTGTCACCATCTCACTGTGAGTACCGACTACGCCCTGATGCTTCCCTGAAGGCCAAGCTCTTTGTCTGTCTAGCTGCTGTCTGTGCACCTGGCCAATGGGCCAGTTACTCCATCACTTTCTGGGACCAGCCCTTGCTCTCAGCTCCTCCCTGGCTCCTAGCAGCTTTCCAAGAAGTCTCCAGCCTCTTCTATACACCATGACCGAGTTCTCCGCTGTGCTATTCATCTTGAACTTCTCTTTGATCTTCAAGATGGAGAAGGGAGCTGAGTGCAGCACTGGTCCTGGTGGTTCTCCTCATTGTTGGGAAGCCTTTTCATGTTCATCTACAAGTCCATCCAGTTTCAACATGGAAAACTTCGCCCTGATACTGGGGACCTCATTCATCAGTGGAATTCACTGGACCTTCACCCAGATGCTCCTACAGAAGGCTGAGCTGGGCCTACAGAACCCCATCAATACCATGTTCCACCAGCAGCCACCATGTTTCTGATGCTTTTTCCCTCTTTTTGCCATATTTGAAGGATATAGGGCTGCTCCTATGGGTACTTGGGAGTCTCTCCTTTGGTAGGATTCTCACCTTCAGTTTGGGTTTCTCTGAGTTCCCCTGGCTTCCAGAACCTCCAGCCTCACTCTTTCCATTGCTGGCATTTTTAAGGAAGTCTGCACTTTGCTGCTGGCAGCACACCTGCTGGGTGATCAGACTAGCCTCTTGAATTGGCTGGGCTTTGCCCTCTGCCTCTTGGGAATATCCCTTCATGTTGCCCTCAAAGCAGTATACTCCAGAGGTGATGGTGGATATAAACCCCTGAAGGGCCTGGACTCCAGCCCTGACCTGGAGCTGCTGCTCTGAAGCAGTCAGCAGGAGGATGAGGACAATGAGGAGGCAGAGCACTTTATGCTCAGAGGCATCAGTGAACAGCCAGGGGAGCAACTTGGATGCAGGCTGCACTGTGATGACCACTTGGCAGCAGCTTGGGGCCCTAGTGGCTCTTTATACTATCTGGGAGAAGTGGCTTGGGAGTCACCTGTGGTGGGGCTAGGTCAGGGGCTTGTGGCTCCTACCCTTCCCTTCTTTTTAGAGCTTAGTCAACTGGATAAACACCAGGCCAGCCTTGGACCTGGTTGGAGCTAGGCCCACACTGTCTTGGGTTCATGGTGGAGAAGGAAATGGGTGGGTCTTTCTCAATTGTTGGCCAGGCTCTGAGCCCAAGATTAAGTTTAGAGGCATAGCAGCTTTCTAAGGAGACTGACTTTGGACTACAGGGCAATTGGGGTGTGAAGAGGTTGGGATCTCATCACCTGGACAGTATCTTTCTCAGCAGATTTGGAAATAAATAGTTTATGGTAAAAAAAAAATCACAAGGGAGAGTCAAAATATCCTAATACCAAGATTTCCCCCTAGACCATTCAATCAGAATCTCTGGACAAGAGTATGTTTTAAAAAGTTCTCCATTTTGGAACTCAGGCTGAGAACCACCATTGCTTTAAGAGTTTCCTCCGGAGCCAAGCACAGTGGCATACTCTTGTAATTGAGCAACCTTGGAGACTGAGGAGGAAAATTGCAAGTTTGAGGCCAGCCTCAGCAACCTAGCAAGGCCTTAAGCAACTGAGACCCTGTTTCAAAATAAAAAATAAAAAGCTCAGTGGTAAAGTGCCCCAGGGTTCAATCTCCATTATCAAACAAACAAAGACTCAGTTCCCTCCAGAAGGAGAAAAGAAATTAGACCTTTGATTTAGACCTTTGGATCTGAATACTTGTACATTTGAAAACTTTCTAGAGGGACAAAGGCTAACACTTGATATAGATGGATGAGTAGGATACCGTGAGATATATTCTGGAGGGAAGACCCTGTGATAAGACAGGAGTAAGCATGCTGATTTGGGGAAGATTAGTAATGCAGTCATTAATATAGATGCCAGGAATATGCAGGATTTGCTGTAGAGATGGAAGGATTTGAGACTGGTCCTTTAATCTAGCACTGGCAACACAGATGATGATGTCTTCATTGCTTTTCTACAGTCTGTTCCATGAGTTGGGAAGGGCCTCAGGCATGATTAAAGTGCATTCGAGTGGGTATCCTTCTTCAGTGGAAGGGAGCTGGTGGGAAAGCTTGTGCAGCAGGGCTTTGATTATGAATCTCTTCCCATAGCCTGTCAAGAGTTGATGAGACAATGCTGACCAGACAGGTGGTTTTGTTGGTATTGACATACAAGAAAATTAAGATCTAAGCCTGTATTTGTAACATTTCAGTGAATAGAGAATCATTTAGGAAAGGTGGTATTTCTGGGAGAGGAATTTCAGCTTCTAAGAGACTACTTTCTAGTAGGACAATTCTGATTTCTAGAGATATGAGTAATTCAGACATTGAAACCACCATAGTACTTCATACCATGACCCAGTGTTATAATGATCAGGAATATCTTTTGCTATGTTGGTTACTGTCTTTATGTGGGTCCCTTTGCTTGAGAAACAAGCATACATTAATGAAAGACACCATATGGGATTGGCAGGCATGCTAGACAGATTGGTCTTTGTCTCAGATTTTTTTTCTCCTCCTTTTCCTTATCCTCCTCCTCTTCTTCCTCCTTCCTATTCCGCCTCTTCTTCTCCTTCCTCTCCTCCCCCTTCTTCCTTCTTCCTAGAGATAGAAACCAGGAAGGTTCTACCTCTGAGCAATATCCCTAGCCTTTTTACTTATTTTGACACAGGGTCTCACTAAGTTGCCCAAAAGGGCCTTGAACTTGCCATCCTCCCACCTCAGACATCAGAGTTGCTGGGTTACAAGTGTGTGCCACTGCACCAGGCTTCAGATGGTTCTTACGAGTTAGAGTGAGCCCACGACAAATGATGCTTCAGGTTCTTGAGAGCTCTTCCAGCTGCTGTAGGCCACCAGTACTTTCCTACAGGAAAAAGCTTAGGCCCAACTGGAAGAAAACTGTAGTTAGGTCTTTTCTGCTTTGTGGATGTCAAATGCCTGTTGACCTTGTTCAAAAAAAGGTTCATATTATACCAATATGGTGTTCTCTCCCTACATCGAAGAGTATGGACTCCATCTTTCTTCCTCTTTGAGTACTGTTAGACATAAAATTCTATACAATTGATACAGTTCAAGACTTGGATACAGATATAAGACTTGAAAGCAAGCAAACATATACTGGGAAGAGGGGAAAAAACTTAAGCTTTAAGTTGGTTGCCAAATTTTGACTATTCCACAAGACTGGATATTTTTAAGTATTAACATATCTTAACTACAGATGAACAAAAATAGTAATGGGACCACTGAAGTTTTAATTCAGAGATAGAGGAGCAACCAACCCCTACAAGGTGTTTTCTTTTTCTTTCCTTTTTTTTTTTTTTTTGGTACCAGGAATTTAACCCAGGGCGCTTTACCACTGAACCACATCCCCAACCATTTTTACATTTCTACTATTTAATTTAATTTCAGTAAATTGCTGAGGCTGGCCTCAAACTGGCCTCAAACTGCCTCAGTCTCCCAAGTCATGGGATTACAGGCATGCCCCAAGTCCAACCCTACAAGGTGTTTTTTTTGGACTGGGGATTGAACTCAGGGGCATTCAACCACTGAGCCTCATCCCCAGCTCTGTTTTGTATTTCATTTCCAGACAGGGTCTCACTGAGTTGCTCAGCACCTTGCCGTTGCTGAGGTTGGCTTTGAACGCTCAATCCTCCTGCCTCACTGGGATCACAAGTGTGCGTCACTGCCTGTAATGTTGTTGTACATGCCTGTATTTTCAAAGGACAGTGGAAAATAAAAATTAAGTTTCTTTAGGTTAACTCCAAAAGTCATGCTAGTTCAGTGTACTAGGAACTATTATTGAGTTGAGTGCCTATTTGGTTTTTTGAATCCTAGAGGTAAAAAGATAGATTGGATGATTTTCCTCTTTACATAATCTGTGAACATAGTATAATGTGATATATTCAATAATAGAAGTAATGTGTGAAAATTAAGAAGAAAGATGTGGCTGAGGTTATAGCTTAGTGGTAGAGTGAATGCTTAGCATGTTCAAGATCCTGGTTCAATCCTCAGCACCAAAAATAAAGAAAGATGTGAGTATACTTTGGAGTGGTGGGGAGTGAATGAGACACAGCCATAGAGGAGATGAAACCCAGCAGACATTGAGAGAGTAGTAGATGTGCCGGGTCTGGTAGCACATGCCTGTAATCCCAGTGACTCGGGAGGACAAGGTTAAGAGGATTGCAATTTCGAGGCCAGCCTCAATAACTTAGCAAGACACTATCTCAATAAAAAGGACTGGGGATGTAGCTCAGTGGTAAAGCACCCTGGTTTAATGCACTCCCTCCCCCTTACACATACACACACATACCCACATGAACCAGGGAGGGAGGGGCACTGAGAAGATAATAGAATTCTTCTCTATCTTGGTACCCACAACTGATAGGACACACCTCTCTATATATGACAAGTTGGGTCAGACAGACCCTGCCTTCTAAGAATTTAGAATCAGAACATGAGTGGCTAGGTTATTTAGATAGTAACATTAACTTTGTAAAGGCACATATATTTCAGATCCAAGCCTAGCCTTCATGAGCAACTATTTAGGGGTAAGTAATGCAGTGTGGAACAAGCAAAACTAGCTGATCTCCCAAGAGAAGCAAATGAATGCAGCTAATGAAGAGAGAGATGTAGAGGAGGGAATCAGAGACAATAGGCCATGTGACCCCAAAGAGAAAGAAATAGTTAACTTGGCTTTGACAGCTTTCTGGGCCCCTGTTTCTGTTCCATCTAAGGTCTGGCTGCCACTTCTTTAAGTTCCCTGAAATTCCTGAGTCGTTGCGACAAATCCATCTCCACCTAAGTGGCCTTCTTTTTTTCACTGGACAATAGAGTTATGTTCCTAATGTGTTCTCCCCTTGATGTTCATGTACTAATGAAACCAGATAGCCTTCCACATCAGAGATACACATGCGTATAGCAAGGACACTTATTTAACTCATTACATCTCAGATATCTCACAAAATTAGGTCTCTTATTTTGTCAAGTTTTCTCTGGGTATTAGTCATTTATTACCACATAAAAAAATACCCACCATATAGTATCTTAAAGCAATAATAAACATTATCTTGTAGTTTCTGTGGATCAGGAATTTGGGAGCAACTCAGCTGGGCCTTCTAATTTAGGGTTTCACAAAGCCATAGTCAAGTTGTTGGCTAGGCTGCAGTCACTTGACGGGCTAGAGGATCTGCTTACAAGGCAGCGCACTAACATGTTTAGCTAGTTGGTACTGGTTGTGAGAAGCCTCTGTTTTCTACATATGGGCCTCTTCATAAGGCAATAGGATTGTTCTTATAACATAATGGCTGACTTGCTCCAGAATAATTCAAGAGGAAGAGAGTCAACTAGAAACTATCCTTATTCTGATCTTGCCTCAGAAGTTACATAGAATTAGTTCTGGAACATTCTATAATTAGAAACAAGAAACTAAGTTTGGTCTACATTCAAGGTGAAATACTAGGTTTTATCTTTTGGGGTTTTTTTTTTTTTTTGGTTCCAGGGATTGGGATTGAACTCAGGGGCATTTAAGCACTGAGCCACATCCACAGCCCCTTTCTATATTTTACTTAGATACAGGGTCTTACAGAATTGCTTAGTGCCTCGCTAATTTGCTAAGGCTGGCTTTGAACTTGAGATACTCCTGCCTCAGTCTCCCAAGCTGCTGGGATTACAGGCATGTGCCACTGTGCCTAGCTAGACTAGATTTTATCACTTGAAAGGAGGTATATCAGAGAATTTATGGACATATTTTAATAACATCACAACCTGTTAGAACCAGAAAACAAAACAAAACAAAAAAACCAAACAAACAAATGGGAAGGAAAGGACAAGAGGGCTAAATAAGGATGGAAATGATCAAAATATGTTATATACAAATATGAATATGCTACAACAAAATTCATTATTCTGTGTAATTAATATGCACTAAGAAGGAATTCATTAAATACCTTTAGACAATGATAAGTCTCCTATGGATAAAAATGTTTCGTCTTTCATAGTGCTTCCCCAAGAGAGTCTGTCATCTTTTCTGAAGTTGACGTCCATTTGTACAGAGGTTGAGGGATAACGTACACAATCTTTGTCACTGATGATACAGAAAGGGTACCCCTGGTTAGTACCTCCAGGTTCCCAGCATGATTGCCCTTATCTTCCTAATCACTGGGGAATCTGCTGGCCTGTGATGCTGAAGATTCAACTGGTGAACTCATATCCAGTCTCTGGTTTCGGGCAAATCTCCTAGGGAGTACAAACCACCTCCTTTTGCAGACTTGTTTCCCACTGGCCACTGGTATGGGGTCACCTAGCTTTAGCTTTTATAGTCTCCTGGCTGTTAATTCAGCATCCATGTTTCAAAGGAACAGGGAAGGCTTGGGATAATTGACTACCCTATCTCTTTTTGATCATGCTGTTGTGGAACTTGCCATTGGCCCAAATGACCATAAAAAATTCAGGGATGAAGTATGAGGGAGTTGGACAGTGGTCCCAAAAGGAGAGAAAGGAAGAGATCCTTTGCCTCAAACACTCCTCTCAGCATGGAGGTAACTCATTGTGGTAGGCAACCTTATTCATGATGTTGGCTTTTAGATGATTCTAGGCTAGCTCTCTTATATATTCTATATTCTCAATTTGACTAATTATTTCCTTGTGGTGTCTTTTAACTTGTCTGTCTACTCCTTGCCTTTTAAAAAAAGATAAGATATTATGTATCAGTATTTGATCGGATTCAGGGTAAACATTTTTAAAAGAGTACTTCATCAGTAATGTTGAATAGATCACATCCTTTCACATCAGGCTTAAGTTTGCATTATTCCATTATTAGTGATGTGAAATTTGGTCACTTGTTTAAGATGGTAACCCCCCACCCAACAATCTTTTCATGGAAAACAATACATTTCCCTTTGTACTTTCTAAATAATTTGTAAACAACCTGCTCCCCAATAACTGTTTGATATATAATAATTATAAATATTAGTGAGGAAGAGTATTATAATTTAATATATGTATACTATGTGCAATAATCACATCAGGATAATTAGCATTTGCATCTCCATAAATATTTATCATTTCTTGGGCTGGGTTTGTGGCTCGGAGCACTCGCCTAGCATGCGTGAGGCACTGGGTTCGATCCTCAGCAACACATTAAGTAAAATAAACACATTGTGTCCATCTATAACTAAAAAATAAATATTAAAAAATATTTCTCATTTCTTCAGGCAGTTACTTTTCACTAATGATTTGATTACCCATCATGATCTTTACCTAAATCAGTTATTTTATAGGAGGCTATAAAAATGGTATTCTGATTATAAAACTGCATTTATTAGCTGACATTCTTCTGTTAAGAAAAAAAAGAGCTTTTCAAAAAGAAAACCATTTTAATGAATTTCTCAGTGGACAGTTGAATAGAAGTTTGTTTTCAATTTTGTTTAGAGCAACTGGAAATTTCCTTACTTCTAAAAGGATTTGTTACCCAATTATTGGAGCCATTTACTTTCTCAAAACCATCCCCAATATTCCCAGTTGTTCTTTTGTTGGGTCCTCAAGAGGTTTGCAAGTTCAAAGAATGCACCATTGTGGGGCTTGAGGTAACAGTGGTGAGAGGTTTGACATTCTATGGCAAAATGGAAGAAAAACTACTGAGTGGAGACTGAGAGCAGCGTGGTGTCCTGACTGTACCAGTTCTCAGGAAAAGCAGTTCTAGAAGGCGTGCTTGTGGACACTGAAGATCTTGAAATTAGTTCCCATAAGACTGTCTGTACTCTTTGGAAAGAGAGTTTACCCTTTGGAAAATTTTGCATGAAGATGTAGCTTTACTATACAAAAAACTGTGAGGGGGGGGGATGGGGTTGGAGCTCAGAGGCACTGGGTTAGATCCTCAGCACCACATAAAAATAATAAATACCTTTATTTTTAAAGGTATTGTGTCCATCTACAACTAAAAAGATACATATTAAAAAAAAAAAAACTGAGCAACATCTAGATTTGGTTGATGACAAGCCAAGGGCAGAATAAAGGAATTTAGATAATGGCTGTCAAGACTAGATTTCAAGTCTATTTTGCTCCTATTTTAAATTTCAGAAGGCAAATATTAATTCCTTTTCCCTCTATTCCTTTTATAACTTTCAAACAGTACCACACTATTCAAAGGCAACTAGACTCCCTAGGCCAAGGAGGGAAACACACACACACACACACACATTCTTTTTTTTTTTTTTTTAAAGATACCTCAATTCTTCAAGTGTCGTGAGGTTTTGTGGATTTGAATAGAAGACAACTATCTACAAATTAAACATTTAAAAACAGAATTAGTGGGGCTGGGGCTGGGGCTCAGCGGTAGAGCACTCATCTTGCATGTGTGAGGCCTTGGGTTCCATCCTCAGCACCACAAAAATAAAATAAAAAGGTATTGTGTCCATCCACAACTAAAATAAACTACACACACACAGAATTAGCACATTATATAACATGTTTTATAGCCATCCTTACAGTATTTTAGATTATGACACCTTGTAAATTATTTTTATTATTCTGTCATTAAACCATTATGGATATATGCAATCATCTTAAAAGAGAGAAATAATTTTTTTTCTTATTTTCTTTCTTTTTTTTTCTTCTTTGGTCTCAAATAATTTCAAAAGATATTTGAGATTTCTCCTATCAAAGGCCTGTAGTAGAGGATCATATTGCATTAATTTGACCCATTATTTTAGTCTAATTTATTCATGATAAAGAATAGTATAGTACACTGTGCCTCCTCTGTAGTAGGTGAGATGTTTCCAAGTCCTAGCTTTCACCCTAAAACTATACAGCTTCTTAGCTTTCTTGAGCCTCAGTTTCTTCATTTGTAAAACAGAAATATTTATAATAATTCCTCTCATTGAGTTGATAGGACAATTAGGGACACCATGTATGTAAATACCTGGCATGTGTTAAAATATTAGTTGTTCTTATTGTTATTATTATTTGACCAAGTGAGGAGGTGATATTCAAGTCACCAGCCTGCTGACTTTTAAGATTATTTTTTAAGGAGTAGGATTTATTCAAGTGAGAAGAAAAGAGGCAGGGCAAGAGGGGACCCAGTAGGGGTTGCCCTAAGAATTTCTTAACATTTGTATCTAGCTTTCTTTCTTTTCTTCTTCTTCTTTTTTTTTTTTTTTGTGTGTGTGGTACTAGGAATTGAACCTGGAGTGTTCTACCACTGAATTAAGCCCCATCCCTTTTTATTCTTTATTTTGAAACAAACTTTCACTAAATTGCCCAGGCTGGCCTTGAACTATCAATTCTCCTGCCTTAGGCTCCTGAGTAGCTGGGATTACAGATGTGTGCCACCAGGCCTGGCTGTGCATACAGCTTTCTTGATAAGTGGATTTTCTGAAAGTGGCAAGTGTCAGAATTAAGACTTAAATTTCTTTGAGTCTTATATAGAAAAACTAGAATTAATTTGACTCTTCTAAAATAAAAATAAGAAATATCAATATCTTAAATCATGGATGTTGAGTCAAGGTCTTAAAATTACACTCCAGCTCCTCTCTGCCACCTTTCTTTTAACAAAGTTTGCATTTATGCATATTGTATGTTAGCATTTCTCCTCCAAAACATCAATAGTCATAATTGCCTTTATTTGGAATCTCAGAAGCAGTTAGTTATGTGCCAACCTTATGAAACAAGTTTTTACCTAGTTTAAATTCCTGATTTGGGGTCATCCAAATGCTGTCCAATTATTGAATTTATATTTATTTAAAATAACTTGGCAATTTATATTCAAAACTATTTTTCATTTTCTCCTAAAATTGTAAAGCATTTGCAAACCGTTTCAAGTATCAATAATTAGGAGGTTTGATTCTAATCTATCTGTCAATTAAGACTGTTTGACTCAGATGAATGGCTCCTCAAAAGTCAGAAGTCCCAACCTAAAGAGAAGTACCTCTCTTGTGTTCTTCCCACCACTCTATGATGACACTCCACAATCATTCTACAAGGCTGGCATTTTCATTCAGTTGCACCTAGATGGAAGAAACGGGAGGATGGGAGGAGTTAACATTTCAGTGTTCATACTGATTCCCAGAATCCTTTCAATATTTAGGGTCAGCAACAATTCAGTAAGGAAAGGTCCCATTAGGTAAATTTGGTTCTGAAAATACTAATTGAACACCCTCTCAGCAATTCAGCCTTTTCCTTGTTCCTTTCTTTAGTCATCAGGGTCCCATGGTGACTGGTTTTGAAAGAAATCATCCCCTTCAGCAGTTACCTAGCACCATGGCAACCAGGACGTCAGCAAAGCAGGATAGACCCACACAAAACAGCTCAAGCCAGGCTTGCATCCTGCCTCTATTCAGCCTTGCTTGAGGCCTAGGGATGGGGCTAAAGATATCTGGGCTTTTACACCCAAGAATTCCTCTGTTGTTATGGTTTTTCCCATAAGCATAGAGATATGGACATATAGTAAAACGGTTATGAAAATCCACCCTCCATCCTTCTCCAAAAAGAAAAAGAAAGAAAACAAAAACAGCATATCTAAAGGGTAGGGTTTAAAGAAATAAAAATTATGTTTATAAGGTAAGTTTATAAGTAAGTTGACCGTAGAGGAAGTCAGAATCCCAAATATATGGTGTAATTTATATTTAGATAGAAGACCTCAGGGAAATATTTTGAAATATTTTTATTTACCTGAGAGAGAAATGGACAAATGACTTCAACAAGTGCTGAATGGGTTGTAATGCTGTCCGTGGTGCTGAACACTCGATTGTCCCAGCTGTGCTAAGGGGGCTCCACAGGGGAGTTAAGGAACACCTTGCCATGTCAGGATACTGATGATGATAGAGAAAAAGAGGGACTGATGAGAAAGCATCATTTCCCTCCCAGACCAAGCAGCTCTGCATGCTCAAGATGAAATTGTCGGATGAAAAAAAAAAAAAGAAAGTAGAGAAAACTGGAGGTTTGGGTAGTTGAATCTTCCCCTTTTCATATGGAGATTTTTGGTAGGAGCCAATCAGGTCAGAGATTTCTGCAGCTGAAAGGAAAAGTGGGGGAAGGGAAGGAGAAGATGGCCACATTCTCCCCTTGAGCCACATGATCCATTTCCCATGTGACACATTCCAGAGCCTTGGAAAGGAGAAGGGAGGGGCGCCCAGAGAGTGGGGCTGGGGGCGGGAAGATGGTTTAACAGTCTACCCAGCACAGCGTCATCTTGTCTCCCTACCAGGAAGCAGGCTGTGAGCCAAGGGGAAGGCAGAGGACAGATATGAGCGTGTCCCCAAGATTTCCTGGTGGTTTATGGTATTCTCCAAACTCCTATGCAAGGTCTGTGCCTGACCAAGAAGACCCAAGGAGACCTTCTCTAAAATCAAGTCCGGATGAAGGTATGTAATAGAGATCGCTCGGTTATCACAGCTAAAATTTTGCTCAGAGGACATAATATTTTCTCTTTTTTTGCAGGGAATTTGGAGATTTTGTCCTGGCTTAGATGCTCCTTAGGAGCTTTAGATTTGTTACGGGTCTAGAAAAGATGCTTAGCTAGTTCTGTAAAATGAATAATCCTCCAGAGTAAGTGCCTGGATGGAAATTGTGTATAGTAATTTATAATAAAACGAAGCACTCATTGATGAAAATAATTTTTTTCTCTTGAATCCTGGAAAGAAAAAAATATTGTCAAAACCAACTAGATTTCGTTGTCACTACAATAAAATTCTGTCTCATCCCCTTTTCAGCTGCTTATTCTCTGCCCATGTTCCCAGAGGTTATTGGCAGTAGCTCAAGGAGCCTGAGTGGGCAGTCGTGCTGTTCCTTTGTGCTATGCCATCATCTGCTTTCTGATGTTCTTGATACAGGAGCACTTGTGATTGTTCCCAGCTCTGGTTGAGGACAGAATTCTATACCTTATAGAATTACTATCAAGAAAGCCCTGAGGAAGTTCTCAAATGAATCTACCAAAGTTGTAGGCTAAAATTATTTGCCATGAACGCAAATCTTGGTATCTGATTATTTCTACCCAGCATAAAGAGCTGAAGCTAGGAAATGTAATTTTTATTTTGTTTAATTAAAAGTACTTATAAACTTCTTGCTATGGGCAAAGTACCATTCTAAACACCATAATCAATCATTTAATTTTTACAGCACACATTTTAGAGATGAAGAAACTGAGGCACAGAATAGTTAGGGAATTTTTGCAAGATCACACAGCTAGTAAATAATAAAACTAGAATTTGGGTCCAAGAAACTTGACTGCCAAACCTATGCTCTTAACCACTGAGCTATGTTGCTTGCCTGTTTGTATTATCTCAAATGATGTCAGTAGTCTATTTGGCTACAAATTTTGTTCAGCTGATGCTACTAGAAGATTAAATCATTTTGCCTGTCTAAAACAGATCCCCAGTGAAATTTATATTTCATCTTGAATTATCCCAGTAGTCACATTCTGTGCCCCCAAATAACCCAGTAAGTAATTGCCTCTTCTTTCCCTTGTGTTGTATAGATATCTGGTAGTAAAACACTATGTTACTATGGTGACCAAGTGATGTCTAAAGAGGGGGAAAAAAAAGAAATCTGAAATTACATCAAGGTTGAATTTTAAAAAATTGAACCTAGAAACAGTCTTTCATCCTCAGAACACAGTAACAAGCCCAGCCTAAGAATATTATCTTTAAAACACTTACCTAGTTCTTAAAACAGATTAAAACTTCCAGAATTATGCACATAAGCTATGATGTCAAACTCATTGGATATATTGCTTTAAAATAATTGCATACTTTGAGGGGATGGAGCTCTCTTTGGAAATTATTTTAGATTTTTAAGGATAAAAAAAAAAAGAAATTTGGGGCTGGGGATGTGGCTCAAGCGCTAGCACGCTCGCCTGGCATGCATGCGGCCCAGGTTCGATCCTCAGCACCACATACAAACAAAGATGTTGTGTCCACCGAAAACTAAAAAATAAATATTAAAATAAAATAAAGAATATTTAAAAAAAGAAAGAAATTTGTTAATTTCTTAATGTTGGAGATTTCTGACATTAAAAAAAAATTTTTTTCTCCCTTTGGTCTTTGTAAATTTCCTTCTTGCCCTTGGTAATAACAGATGACTAATCTCATTCTTATAAGCTATGGGAAAATTACAAAAGTTGCTACATCTAAGATTCAAAGAGGATGAAAAGGCACAGGAATCTTAAATTTGTGAAATTCTTCACTGAGTGAGGTATTTCTCTTCAGGGTTGTGATCCCTATGATATTGACTTTTTTTTTTAGGTAACACTTTCATGTTATGGTAGCGCAGCCTGAAGTATGATAAGAAGAATGTTCTACTACAGCCAGTTTGGTGATCATGTCTATTCTATTTGCCTATGTTTATAGGAAGGACAGTTAACGGGCAAATGTATAGTTAAGAACTTGGCAACAGTCTCAATTATGCTTGAAGTTTATATACGTTAGCTAGGTTGGCCCTGGAGCAGCAAACTAGAGGTCAAGATGTGTCCATAAATTTTGTCCTGGGGATCCTTATCTTCCTGAAATTTTTATTTGTACTTTTGCACTTAGAATGATGTTCTTAAATTTTTATTGTATTTAGATGGAGGCACCCTCCCAAAGTCCCATTTTCCTCTGATGTGTGTTGCCTGGCACAATTTCCCAACATTGAAACAGTTCACCTTGGGTTGAGTGTGAAATATCTTGAGAGGTCCTGCCCCATATCATCCTCTCTTAATGCAGTCTGGCTTCCAGTCCCCAGATTTCTGCCCAGAAAAATGGCAGAACTCAGGACTTCTCTCTAGGATCCTGCATGTCAGCATGGATTAGGACCACACTACCTTTCCCAAACTATGGCAGATAGGACCTGAATGGAAGCTTGCTTAGGATTTGAATTCAAGCTAACTAGGATTAAAATAGTCACCCTTCTGATAACATACCAAAAATAGCCTTTGTTCTGTTATTTTTCCCATTTAATTAAATCCTTAAGGAGAGGGGTGTATGTGATTTTAGGCATGTTAGTGAATCTCTCTGACCTTCAGTTTCCTCACTGGAAATCAGAAATCAGGGCTAATAGTGCACATCAGAGAGGGTTACTATAAGGATTAAACATGACAGACATCAAGTGCCCCACGGGGTGTGGATGTATGACCACTCATCCTCTTCACCTCCAGTGTTGCCTACTGAGTGTACTGCACATAATAAGAAGCAACAGCCCTGATGGGAGCACAGACCAGCTGGGCAAGAGCCATGTGCCCACTGAACACATGCAGGACCTCTCAAGTGAGCAGGGCTAGTGCACACCAGGGCTTCCTGCTCAACCCTTTTGAATCTAAATGGGGGCAACCTATTCAGCCAGCTGACCAGAAGATAAAAGAGAGAGGGAGAAAAAAAAAAAAGTGGAGAGACTTCTCCCTGAGGAGGCCTTGCCAAGTGTGCTTTGGTTTGGAGGCCAGGTGTGTAAGAGGAGATAAGGGGGGCGGTGAGTCGGGTGAAGGATGTGAGAAAGTGATGGCTAGGTTCTGCCTTTCAGAGATAGTAACTTGCTGGCTGATACACACTGCCAAATGAGTCAGGCCCTGCCAGTGGAACAATCAAATCCCTTCCTAATGTGTAAATGTCAGGAGAGGAGGGAGTAGAGAAAAGGACCAGAAGGGGTGGGTGTAGTTTCTCTTCTGTGAGCCATGGCAAAAAAAAAAAAAAAAAATGGAATGAAATGGGAGTTGTCCTCTCACAGAGGATAGTTTAAAAGGGGAGTTGCAGTGATGAATCTTTCCCCCTATTTGTAGGGTAATTTCCCCTTGAAAAGAACATCTCCTGGAGCCTTTCATTCAACAAACTCTCCCCAGCACTTGATGTCTATCATATTTCCTGCTCATAGGTTCTGTCTATGTATTATTGGCTCTGATTTCTGGCGAGGAAGCTGACGCTCAGAGAGGTTAACTAACCTGCCTGAAATCACACAGCTAGTAGAACCAGGATCTAAATTTAGTTCTTTTAGTCTGTGTTCTACCTACCAGGTCACAAATAAAATTATTTCTTCTGCTTTTTTTTTTTTAAGGACATATGTTTTAGGAGCTAGGCACAATGGCGCATGCCTGTAATCCCAGCAGCTTGGGAGACTGACTGAGGAGGATCAACTATTCAAAGCCAGCCTCAGCAAAAGCAAGGTGCTCAGTAACTCAGTGAGACCCTGTCTTTATTTTTTTATTATTATTTTTAATTTTTGTTATAGTTATAGATGGATAGAATGCCTTCATTTTATATGTTAATTTTTATGTGCTGCTGAGGATCAAACCCAGTGCTTCACACATGCTAGGCAAGCGCTTTGCCACTGAGCTACAGTCCCAGCCCAAGACCCTGTCTTTAAATAAAATACAAAATAGGGCTAGAGATGTGGCTTAGTGGCCAAGTGCCCCTGAGTTCAATCCCTGGTACCAAAAAAAAAAAAAATTTTTTTAGGGCTGGGTATATAGTTCAGTGTTAGAGTGTTTACCAAGCATGTATGAGGCCCTAGATTTGAGCCCCAGCACTGCAAAAAAAAAAAAAAAATTAAAAAAAGAGCCGGGAAAGGTGATGCATACCTGTAATCCTAGCAGCTCAGGAGGCTAAAGCAGGAGGATTGCAAATTCAAAGCCAACCTCAGCAAGCAATTTAGAAAGGGCTGGGGCTGGGGGCTGGGGCTGGGGCTCAGCAGTTGCACACTTGCCTGGCATGTGTGAGGCACTGGGTTTGATTCTCAGCAATGCATATAAATAAATAAAGTAAAGGTCTATCAACAACTAAAAAAATTTTTTTAAAAAGGGAGGGGGTATTAGAGATGTAGTTTAGTGGCAAAGCACCCTGTGTTCAAATTCCCAGTACCAAAAAAACAAAACTGAGAAAGAGTACATTTTTTTCATATCAAATACAAATATCGTACTCAAAACTTTGGAAAATATAGAGCAGTATAAAGGTATAATGAAAATAAAAATTTGTTGTCACTTTGTCACCTAGAAACAACTACTACTAAAATTTTAGCGTATTTCTTCTCAGAGTTTTTCAATGCATATAATGATAACAAAACCAAACATTTGGTGTATACCTGTTTTAGACGTTTTTCTTAGCTCCTTTATTGCTAATTTATTTTATTCTTACAGAAAATCAATAAAGTGAATACTGTAATTTTATTGGTGAAGACACTCAGTAAGCGCAAAGATGTTAAGTAACTTGCCAAACACTACCCAGATTATAAGTAGCTTGAAGCCAAGACAGGCCGGCTCTAAAACAGTGTCTCATCTTCAGCACTGTTGGCATTATGGGCAAGGTAATTCTTATTATTGGGAATCTGTCTTATTCATTGTAGAACGTTTAGCAGCTTCCCTGGCCTCTACGTAACAGATGTCAGTAACTTGCCCCTTCCAACCAAAAATGTCTCCAGATGTTGCTAAATGTCCCCTGAGAGGCAGTTAGTTATTCCAGTTGAGAACCACTAGTGTAGATCCCATGTTCTCAGGTACTATACAACATTTTCATAATTAAAATGCACATAAATTTATTTTCTTCTACATCAAACTAAATCTTCCAGTTTGGGTGCAGGCTATGAGACTTTGTTGGAATGTCAGTGGCTTTATAGATCATAGGTGGGAGATCAGTTACCTCCAGGATAAACTCATTAGTAGATTCCTGCATCAGAAGCTGGTCTAGATTATTCCATAGTTTTCCAGTGGGGAGAATAGCTAGGTTTCTACTTTTATTACCTTTCCCTTGTTCTCTGTGCTAAGCACCTTAGCTTTCAAGAATTCAAATTTCAGGGACATAGTTATATTATACCATCCAAAGTATCAAAATGCATTGCTTACCATCCAAAAGTGTCGAAATGCATTGCTATGTCCAGTAGATATCTATTGTAAATAATTGCTTGATAATAACTAAAGTACTAAAGATTATTAATGATGTCTTCCTTTTTTTCTCCCTAGTACTAAAGATCAAACCACAGCTTTGTGCATGCTAGGCAAGCTCCCTTCAGCCCTTTTTAAATTTTGTTTTGAGACAGGGTCTTGATAACTTATCCAGGCTGGCCTCAAACGTGCAATCCTCCTCTCTCAGCCTCCCTAATAGCTGGGATTACAGGTGTGTACCACCAGGCCCAGCTAATGATTTATTTTTCCTTAAATTAATTGGAATAAATTTAAGAATATCTACATAACAATTTTATTTTATTTTTAATTTAATTTTATTTTTTACACAAATTGAGTACAACTTTTCATTTCTCTGGTTGTACATGATATAGAGTTGCACCATTTGTGCATTCATATCCATAGAGGGTAATAATATCTGTCTCATTCCACCATCTCTCACCACCCCAACAATTTTATTTTTCACATGATTTCTTAAGTGGAAAATTAAAGGGTCAGAGTTATAGGTCAAGCTCTTGGAGTTGCATGTAATTCTGGATATATCTGTGAGTGTGTATCCCTCTTCTGAACACACTTGTCATGTGAATTTCTGAAAAAGAAAGGTTAGCAGTTGCTGATTTGGGTGAACCATTAATGATATGCAAAAACAATTGAAATAAGCACTGAAAGATGATAATAGTAACATATTAACTTATACAATGTATAAAAGTAGGCAGCATAAAATATATATATTTTCCATGTGACATATATGCAAATACATGGTCAGCCATATTTTCAGGGACATCTGATTGCATATGGTTGCGTCATTTGTCCATGGAAAATACTTAATACAAAATTAAATCTTGAATTTCAGTTTCATGAACTTGAAGACAGTTTTCTGTCCTGATTCAGGACAGCGGTGCAGATAAAAATTTACACAGAGTGCTAATGTTAATATGATGTGAAGCAAGTGCTTAGTAGTTTTCTGTTCAGTGCTTATACTTGTTTCTTAATGAATCCTTTACCTTCTTTGTAAAATACCATTGCCTTTCCATGTCCTCAGTTTGTATATCCTTGCATTCAACCAACTGCAGATTGAAAGTACTTCCCCCAAACTAGGCCTGGTGGTACATGCTTGTAATACCAGCTCCTGCAAAGGATCATAAGTTCAAGGACAGCCTGAGCAACTTAGTGAGACCTTGCCTCGAAATAAAAAATGGGGGCTAGGAATGTGCTCAGTGGTAGAGTGCCCCAGAGTTAAATCCCCACTACTGCAAAAAAAGAAAAAAGCAAGGAAAATAATCCCCTCCTACCAAAATTGTGTCTGTATGAATATATACAGACTTTTAATTGTCATTATTCCCTAAATTATACATTATAACAACATTTACATAGCATTATCAGGTATGTAAGTAATCTAGAGATGGTTTAAAGTACAAGAAGATGTGCGGAGGTTATGTGTAAATACTACATCATTTTGTATAATGGACTTGAGTTTCCATACATTTTGGTGTCTGAGTGGATCCTGGAACCAATTCTTTCCCCTTAATGTTGAGGGACAAGTGCAGCTGTAAATCATCTACCAGATAGCTCTTTGCTTTGAATGTAATGAGACTGGTCTTTGCTTCGCTATCTCCTTCAATTTAAGTTGTACTAGTTGAGATGTTGATATTAAAATCAGAGTTTGGAAATGAAACCAAACATTACCTCCAAAGAATCTGGTTGCCTCTCTTAACTGAATGAGCATGCAACAGCTGTTCAAAAAAAATGTTGTGATGAATTAAATTATTTTTTTGTGAGGTGTAAATTCCTTGGCCAAATTGTTTCCTTTGGAATTTAAAAGACTCCTTGCTGGGACGAGAGGCATGGAATATTGATAGAGGACAGACAGGTGTTGCAGTAAATGTTTCCTCCTCTGAGAGGTTTGGTATTAGATGGAATGAAAGCAAACATGGATCTTCTAGGACCAGACCACGTCTTACAGGAATATTCAGTAGGGATTGTTGACACTTCTAGGATAATTATTGAGGAAGGCTGGGCTGGACTCTAGGTAGGAGTCATCTTTCCTTTTGAGATCCATGCTGTCAATCTTGGGTATTGAAAGAGCCCAGCTTCCCATCTCCTGTCATCAAATTGTACTCACATAATGAGCTCTCTGCTGGATGCTTGTGGTAGGTTATAAAGTAAAGAGTGTATGTTGCTTATTCCAGGTAGCATTGAGCCTAGAGCTGAAATGACCTTAGAAATCATCTAGGCCAACTCAATTCATATTTTAGACATGGCAGTGAAGATTTAGAGAGATTGATTTACTTAATGATCCTTATGCTGATATGAAAGTAGGAGTAGAATGTCCTGACTTGTGTAGTGCTTGTGGTCAGAATTAAAACCCAGGTTTTTTAGCCTCCAATCCAACATGCAAGGTGAAGTAGAAAACACTATCTATATTCTTTAAGGTTTCAGGTTTCTAATACCATTCCAGATGCTGGTGGGGTAATTAAAAGTAACAGAATAGCTGGAATGAATTTTAATTTTTACACTCAATTATATATTAAGAAATGCTACATTTAATTAGGTTCTATTGCTGTTATAACAAATGAATACAAATCTGGTGGTTTAGAATGATACCCCTTTATTATTTCTCAGTTCTATAGGTCCAGAGTCTGGGTAGGCTTGGTTGGTTGCTCTGCTTAGAATCTCAAAGGACTAAAATCAAGATGATAGAAGAATTGTGATCCTTTTTAGACATTCTAGGAATGACTTCCCTTCCAAGCTCATTCAGGTTGTTGTCGGAATCTAATGACGTGTGGGCCCTATCCAACACCACCCACTCCTCACCCCCCACCCTATGGATGTCAGTTGGAAGCCACCCACAGTTCCTAGAGCTCCCCCTTGTCTTTGATGAGGACTCCTGAATCTCAGAGTCAGCAGCATTATGTCAGTTCCTTTTCCTGCTTGGAATATCTTTCTGACTTCTGCTTGTACTACATCTCTCTGTTACTAGTCAGAAACTAAATTCTCAGCATTTAAGGGCTCATGTGATTAATTATAATTTAGGATAATCTCATTTTAAGGTCCATAACCTTAATTATATATGCAGAGTCCCTTTAGCTATTTAACATAGCACATACACAAACATGTTCCAGAGATTGGAGCTTGGACACCTTTAAGGGGGCCATTTCAACCTACTATACACATGATTTCTTTTAAAATTAATGACAAGGTTCCATTCTACCAGACTAATAGGAAAGTTCAGTGATGAACTTTACTAGGATTCCTTTCTCTTCCTAGGTCCTGGGCTGCTCACACAGGACAAAATATATGGAGTGATCCATTGGATACCCTCTGATTATGATAGAGAAGTGATTGCGGTCTGAGCTAATGTGGGACCTTGAAGGCTTCTGGATCTGTTGCTTCAAGATTGCCTTTGTGGGCAGGTAGACTGTTCCCAGCCAGGAAACTCCATGTCTTGGATCAACCTTCAGAGCTGTACTCCTCTGTTATCTTTTGCCCTGGCCTGGTGCACAGTGAAGAGGTGAAGCATGGGTCCCAGGCCTCTCCTTAAAAAACAACCACCACTACCTTTAGCAAGATATGATTTACGTACCATAAGATTCACTTATTTTATTATTTTTTCTTAATATTTATTTAGTTATAGATGAATACACAGTATCTTTATTTATTTTTATGGGGTGCTGAGGATGGAACCAGTGCCTCACACATGCGAGGCAAACACTTTACCAATGAGCTACAGCCCCAGCCCCAGATTCACTTATTTTAAATGTTACAAGCCAATGATTTTTGCTAATCATGCAGAGTTATATAACTATCACCACAACTCAATTTCAGAACATTTCTATTATTTCCAAAAGATCCCTTGTGCCCATTCAGGTCTACCTTTTCCTTGAGTCCCAGGAGCACAGTCACATTGCTCATTCAGAAGTACACATTTCCCTTCCCCTCCTCCAAGAAAACTCTCAGAGAATTTAGCTTCCAGAAAATAAAAGCCAAGGAAACTGATTGCCTCAAATCCAGTGATAAAACTCTCCTATAAGGGAAAGGCAGGGCTTAGAATCCAGGTTTATTCTCAGAGTGGGATGGGGGTCGAAGCCGAGCAAGGAACACAGCACACCTCAATATCTTAGTGATTTATCCATCCTCTAGGATGACAGAATCCTCACAGTGCACCTAGTAGGTAACCTCTGACTTCACTGAGAGTGATCTACGGGACTTCCCTGTTTTTCTTGCTTCTTTCCTCTTCTAAGAAAAAACTAAGAAATTCTTCTCTTTCACATACATGATCTAAAGGAGACATAGTGTAGCATGGGATGGGAGGTTCAGGGAACCACTTGTCCAGGGTCAGTCATGCACCAGGGCTTTGCATCCATTGTTCCTTCTGCCTAGAATGCTATGACTGACTTCATGTCACCTATTCAGAGAACCTGCCTTTGACCTCCATATCTAAAATAAAACCTTGTTCTAGAGGCAAGTAACAAAACTCTTAAGCCATAGTGACATGTGCTGGTTATTTAATGAAAAAATCTGGAGGTATCACAATGTCAGGCCACTGTGTGATATTTCTGGGAGTCTCAGGAACTGAACTCATAAGATACCACCCAGAGCCCTTACAACTTCATGCAAAGGTTTATAAAGCATGAGTGGAGCAGCCAGTCCCAGGAGAACACTCCCCACATGCCTCTTTCCTTTCACAAAGAAAAAAACATTTTCCCAAGACCTTCTCAAGACCCTTCCAAGAGACTTTCTCTAGTTTCTGGCTGATGTTGATGTGATCATACCTAGATGCAAAAGATGGTGGAGAAGATTTTATCTTGTCTTGTCAGTCTCTACAGTGAGAGACAGTCAAGGCAGAACTTGGAAATGGCCACTAGGCAACCAGACAACCATGTGCTATTTCCTTTCTCATCAGTTCTTGGTTTTTCATTCTGCTTTATTTTTATCCATAGCACTAACCAGTTCCGAATTAGTAATTTTTAAACTTAAATTTATTTTTAAGTATACATAAAAACAGAATTTTTGCATATTAATGGAGTACTTTGATATTTTAATACACGTATACATTTGTGTAATGTTTCAATCAGGTTGCACATAATCTGTCTCCTCAGATATTTATCATTTCTCTTTGATGAAAACATTCAAATTCCTTTCTTCTAGCTTTTCAAAATCTGTGGTATGTTTTCATTATCTATAGTCACCCTATCAGAATTTCTTACTCCTATCTAACTGTAACTTAATACCTACTGATCAACCTCTGGTCCCTACTCATCTCAGCCTCTGGTAACTTCTATGAGATAAACTTTTTTGGAGGTATCAGGGATTGAACTCAGAGGTCTTTAACCATGAGCCACATTCCCAAACCTTTTTTATGTTTTATTTAGAGACAGAGTTTCAATGAGTTGCTTAGGGCCTCACTAAGTTGCTGAGGCTGGCTTTGAACTCTTGATCCTCCTGCCTTAGCTTCCTGAGCCACTGGGATTACAGGTGTATGCCAACACACCTGGCTGAGATAAACTTTTTGAGTGATGTTTTAGTCAACTTTCAGCTGCTGTGACTAAAGGACTTGCCAAAACAATTATAGAGCAGGAAAGGTTTATTTAGGGGCTCAGACATCCCATCCCAGTCCATAGAAGGCTGGCTCCATTACCTGGGGCTCAAGGTGAGGCTGATCGTCGTGGTGGAGAGAAGCAGCTCACATGATGATCAGAAAGCCGGCGGGGGGGGGGTAGTGCCCTTCACTTGCCAGATACAAATATAAGATACAAATATATACCCCAAAGCCATGCCCTCAATGTTCTACCTTCTCCAGCCACACCCTACCTGCCTTCAGGTGATTAATTGACTGTTAGAGTTAAGTTTTATTTTTTATTTTTTCGTACCAGGGATTGAACCTAGTGGCACTTAACTACTGAGCCACATCCGCAGCCCTTTTTATTTTTTTATTTTGAGGCAGGGTCTGGCTAAGTTGCTTAGGCCTCATTAAATTGCTGAGGCTGGTTTTGAACTTGGATCCTCTTGCCTCAGCCTCACAAGTTGCTGCTGCTGTGTTTCTCCTCCTCCTCCTGCCCCTCCTATTCCTCTACCTCCTTATTCTCCTTCTTTTCTTTCTTCCTCTCCTTCTTCTTATCCTCCTTCTCTTCCTCCTACTCCTCCTTCCCCGCCCTCTTCCTTCTTCATGATTCAGTCTTACTTAGCAAGGTGTATGTGTCAAGGAATTATCCATTTCTTCTAGGTTGTAAAATTTGTTGGCATATAGTTGCACAGAATAAGCTGTAACAAACCTTTGCATTTCTATACTGTCAGTTGTATTGTCTCCCTTTTCATCCCTGATTTTATTTATATATGTCTTCTCTTACTTTTACTTAGTCTAGCTAAGGGTTTGTTGATTTTGTTTCTAAAGATCCAGCTTTTTGTTTTGCTGATCTTTTGTAAATTTTTAATTTTATTGTTATTATTACTTTAGTCTCTATTTACTTTCTCTCTGATCTTTATTGTTTCTTTTCTTCTACTAATTTGGGGTTTGGTTTGTTTTTGTTTTTCTATTTTCTTAAGATGCAGTGATAGGGTTTTTCTTTTTCTTTTTCTTTTTTCCAGTACTGGGGATTGAATCCAGGGCCTTAAGCATACTAGGCAAGCACTATATCACTGAGTTACATCCCAGGGCAAGTTTTTATTTTATTATATTTTTATTTGTACATGACAGTGGAATGTATTTTGACATATCAGACATACTTGGAGTATAACTTCCCATTTTTGTGGTTGTACATGATGTGGTTACACTGGTCATATATCCATATAAGAACATAGGAAAGTTATGTTTGGTTCATTCTCCTGTCTTTCCTATTCTTATCCCCCTCCCTTCCCTTTATTCCCCTCCCTTCCCTTTATTCCCCTTTGTTTAATTCAATAACTTCTCTCTCTCTCTCTCTCTCTCTCTCTCTCTCTCTC